GTTCTGAGATTGAACTATGATCGTTCAAGTGAAACGTAAGCCTTCTCGTCATCGACGTTGTTGTAAATCAACCAATTTTAAATGTATCCGTTGTAGTTATGAAATTTTTGCATAACAATGTTTTGCATTTCTACCAATTCTGGTTAGCTCCCTTACATTGGAACGGTTTTTTTTCTCCCCAAATACCCAGAGCTACAACAGATAAATTAAAACTTTTAAAATAATTATAACAGATCGCGTTCACTCGTGTTTTTTTTTTTAAAAACGCCTTCACAACGAGTTACTATAAATTTGTCTTTGTTATTCACTCCTGAGGATGATCTTGGAGGAGATCCAAAGTACATGGGCAGGAGAAAGCTATAACGCCTTCCTTGATAAATTTCATCTCAACATCAAGAAACTGATTAGAACTAGAAAAAGATTATTATAAAAATAAATAGACAAAATATGTCTATATTATTCAATGAAATGTTTGAATATATATATATATATATATATATCTGTGGATGACTATATATATATATATATATATATATATATATATATATATATATATATATATATATATATATATCTGTGGATATATATATATATATATATATATATATATATATATATTGTTATCCACAGACAGACTGTTTCGCTGTATCACAGCTCATCATTGTGGCTAAACGTTTGGTTTCCTCTAGCTAGGATCGAAACCCGGCTTAATTGGCGTCAGTCGGAAAATCTACCCCTAAGCTTTTGGATGAAGGTGTATTTAAGCGTATTTATTTTTAGATAAACATACAGTGACTGGAAGAACTCGATTCGTTTTTAACGAAGAGTCTTGCATTATTAGCAGTAGTAGTTGTATTTACAAACTCACATTCTTCCCTGAGAGCTCAACTGAAATAATATTTCAGGAGATGTGTATATGTGTGTGTGTGTGTGTGTGTGTGTGTGTGTGTGTGTGTGTGTGTCTGTGTGTGTGTGTGTGCCCTTATGTTTATCTCCCCATGTATCATTGTATTCAACATTCAATATCAACACAATGACTTCATTCTCCTATTTTTTTTATTACTGTTCATGTTGTCATGAATGAGATTAAAAAAAGAAAAATCCCCAAGCGCAAATGTTACAAGTTTGGAACCGATTTGAAAGCCAGTATTTGGTGTCAAATTTATGCTCATTGTTCGGCTTTTTCTCAGGTAAAAAGGTTAAAGTGATAAGCTGGCATCCTGTAGAAAGATAAGTATTTCATGTATCTTTATAATAGATGAAGCTATCTATCTAGCTCTTGAGTTGGAATCAATATTCTTAGCAGTTGTCAAAGGTTACGTTTTAACATTTGATTCTGAAAGGCATCGTTTCAACGCATCTTTCTGTAAATGAGTGAATTGTTAATTAGAAGACAATTTTAGTCTGTTTCTATTAAACATTTCGTTCATTCATCGACATATTTTAAAAAATACTTTAATAAGCTAAGCTATGCAGAATATATAAACATATGAGATATAAATCAAAGAGTACTGAACTGTTACGCGATATCTGTCCTATAGCAGGGATTACTGGACAATTTACTCAAAGATGGGGAAGAGACTTGAAGCAAAAGAAATGTGATTCTGCAGAAGGATGCTGAAGATACTATGGACCGAGCAACGACGATATTTTAGAGAGAATGCAAACAAAAAAGTAACTTCTACTTAATATCAAAAAAAGGCATTCGAAATATCCGGAGCCCATAATAAGGCAAATCTACATTATTTACATTATTCGGACAATTGTCCTCATCTTTGTCGCCATATTTATTACAACGTTTCGGCCGTTGTACGCTCCGGCCTTCTTCAGGTGGTTGGAATGTCGAACTGAACGCTTTATTTCGCTCAATGGGGTAGACTGTTCTAGTTCCACGTGCCATGTTTAATGGATGTCAGTTATCTCCCTCTGAAAGTTCTCCACTGCCTTAACCGGGCATTGAACTCACACTCTTTGGGTCCTGTCACAGTGGATAAAGGCGTTGGTTAGATCCAGTGACAAAAAGTCACATATTGTTTATGGCATAGTATCCATTCTAGTAGGTAAATTATGCTATGACTTCTGCAGTTAGGGACATGGTAGATTTTGAAAGTAGATTTAGTGGCTGAGCTAGTGAACGAATTGGTGTGTCTAATGTGGTTACCGGATAACCTCTTATTGTTTTGGGTTGGAAAAATCCTGTTGTTTTGTTGTTACTTAATTACGGATTACCTTGTCCCCTGAAATGTGGTTACTACCTATGATTTCTTTTAGGTTCTTAGGTCTATGATATGCTAGAAGGCCTGGTACTTCAAACAATTTTTTCAGGTCTGGTTTGAGATGTAGTATTTCCCAGCGACTTTTGATTATTTGGGATAGTGGAGGCAGACTGGGGTTGAAAGTGATTACTAATCTTGTACATTAGGGTGTCTTCTCTAGATGTGGAAATTGCTTTATTTATTTGTTCCCTGATTAGGTGTTGTTTATAGCCACGTGTTGTGAATTGATGCTCCAGATTTTCAATGGGTTTATTTACTTCTTCATTGTTGGAACATATCCTTCTGAGTCTAAGTACCTGTCAACAGGGAAGGTTCTCTTTGAGGTGTTTAGGGTGGGAAGACTTAAAGTGTAGATAGTTGTGAGTGTTGGTGACTTTAGTGTGTAGTTCGGGTCAGTGGCGTCTCGCGGTCTTTGACTGCGCGCGCTTTCTGTCGAACTCTTTGCGTTAGCAGAGAGGAACCCGGACGAGGCTTTGCCGAAGGACAAGGTTTCGTCCGGGGAGGTAGACAGGGCCTGAACCCGTCTCGGCGGGTTCAAAGGCTATATTTTTGGCCGAGCCTACGGGCTCGGGGATACCCACATTAAAACCGGCCTTGTGCCATATTCGGTCCTCGTGGGTGGAACGATAAATACTCAGTGTGTAGTGTAATTGTAGTTTTCTGTTTTTATCTATGTAAATGTAGGTGTGTAAAATGTTAACGATCGTGTAGAATTTTCGTAGTCAAATTTAATTGAGTCGTGTACTGCGTTTAGGGTCATAAGAAATTGAGTAAGTTTGTCGTCAATGCCCATGTATACAAAGAATATAACATCGATATATCTTTCGTAGAATACGCTGTCTCTACCGATGAGGGGATAGATATGGGTCTCCTCAAATTTTCCTATGAATATTGTAGCATATGATGGAGCTGCAATGGTGTCCATGGCACAGCCTCTTACTTGCATGTTAGTGATAGAAATTAGGACGAAACGGGCGTCGAGTGCTTTCTGCATTCTGTTGAGGTTTCTTCTAGACTCGATGAATTAATTATAATCATCTCAAATCCTCCTAATTTCTATCACTTGTATATCCTTGCTTGAACCGGCTTCTAATGCTCTGGACTTAGCGGCTTGGGGATAATAGCCGTGGCTCAGGGGCACAGTTCTATGGGTAAAAGAGAAACTCGGATGAGTTTCACCACGGAGTATGTGATCTTTTCGTCACCGAAGGCCGTTGGTACAGATGGTATGACATTTGCCTGATAACGTAACTATCCGGGTTTCAACTCTTTGTAGTGGATGCGCACTGCTGATGAGTACCAAATATAGAACGAAACGGCCATCCAGTGAATTCTGTTGAAGTTTTTACACTCGATAAATTATTTAATTATTTTATATATATATATATATATATATATATATTGAACAATAAAAAAATTAAAATCTTCAGACACACTGGGTTGTAGATTAATATTCTTTCGTTTTTTTATTATTATTTCATTTAGATTCCTCGACTAGTTTCGGCCAACATGGCCATCATCATCAGAAGAAATATTTCTGCTTGCTGGTAGCAGTAAACTACAGAAATGAATGTCTTGATGGAGAAAATGAACTTTTGTCTGTAGTTTTCATTTGTTTTTTTTTTTTTTTTTTTCTTTTTAACATGAATCTTTTAACATTCATTGTGTTGGGCAAGCAGTCTCTTTTAAGTTGTTATTTGAGATAAGAGCTGGATGGATCTACGCTTCCCTGAATTCCCTTGATCAATTTAATAGTTTTATTGGTCCTGGAGAGTGGATGTGTCTCTGTTTAGTGTTTTTATATATATATATATATATATATATATATATATATATGCACTCAGTCACGTATCCAAATGTAAACATGCTATTTTCTAAGGTAATGGCATTTTTCATTTATCAATTGGACATATTTTTATCACTTTAAATGTTATTATTAGCGGGTATTTGAATTGACGATGCATTTATTTATTAAACAGTATATTTATTTATTTTAGTTTACAGACCTGAATATACGATAAATCCTATTAAAAGATATAGAGCGCATATTTTTCTTTAATAACCCGCTATTCCCAAGCAGTCACCCATGTAGGTACAGCCCAGGTTTGACATTGCTTAACTTCAGTGATCGTACAGGAACCGGCGTTTTAATGTGACACCGTCAGCACATCCAGCTTACAACATGAAATATTCCCAAGCAGTCACCCATCTAGGTACTGACAATGATCGGCATTACTTAACTTCGGTGATCGTACAGAACCTAGTGATTCAACGTGATATGACTGTAAGACATACCACCAGTACATCCAATCTTACAGCACGCAGGAATTCCCAAACGGTCCCCTATCTAGTTACTGACGATGATCGATATTGCTTAACTTCGGTAATCGCACGGGAACCAGTATTTCAATGTGATGTGTTTGTAAGTCATAACACCAGCACATCCAATCTTACAGCATGCAGTATTCCCAAGGAGTAACCCATTTTGCTACTGAGAAGGATCTTCATTGCTTAACTTCGGTGATCGTACAGGAACCAGTGTTTCAACGTGATGTGGTTGTAAGCCATACCGCTAGGACATCCAATCTTACAGCAGGCATTATTCCCAAGTGGTCACCTATCTAGTTACTGACAAGGATCCACTTTGTTTAACTTCGGTGATCGTAAAGTAACCAGTGTTTCAACGTGATGTGACTGTAAACCATACCGCCAGGACATCCAGTCTTACAGCACGCAGTGTTCCCAAACGGTCACCCATCTCGGTACTGACACGGATCAACATTGCTTAACTTCGGTGATCGTAAAGGAACCAGCGTTTCAACGTGATGTGGTTGTTAGCCATATCGATCGAACATCCAGTCTTACAGTACGCAGAGTTCTCAAGCCGTCCCCCATCTTGGTACTGACACGGATCAACATTGCTTAACTTCGGTGATCGTACAGGAACCAGTGTTTTAACGTGATGTGGTTGTTAGCCATACCGCTCGAACATCCAATCTTACAGTACGCAGTGTTCTCAAGCGGTCCCTCATCTTGGTACTGACACGGATCAACATTGCTTAACTTCGGTGATCGTACAGGAACCAATGTTTCAACGTGATGTGGTTATTAGCCATATCGCTCGAACATCCAGTATTACATTACGCAGTGTTCTCAAGCGGTCCCCCATCTTGGTTCTGACACGGATCATCATTGCTTAACTTCGGTGATCGTACAGGAACCAGTGTTTCAACGTGATGTTGTTAGCCATACCGCTTGAACATCCAATCTTACAGCACACACTATTCTCTTGCGGTCACCCATCAACGAAATCACTTAAATTGAGTCATCGTAGTGGTACCTGTAATTCAACAAGATATTTATTTTATGAAGAATAACATTGATAAACAAATTATTTGTTACCCAACCTAATATTTTTTGTTAAAACAATCTAGTTACTTTGTATAAACCTCCCTCAAGCATTAGGCATGTTAATATTTATACTCCATGGCTTTTTAAAGACAATTGAAGCTGCTTTTTCTTGATCTGCCGAAGCATGACATGATTCCCAAGAGAAAAAAAAAACAGGCTGTACTTTGCCAATACTTTAGTTTAAAAAAGCAACTATCAAAAAAGGAAGAAAGAGAAAAAAATTCTGCTTTCTGCTCAACATTCCGAACGAGCATCAGACATCAAGTCAGATTATCTTCGTTTTTGCAAACTCTGCCATTCTTAGCGAGACAAATTCATCCACGTGAGACGGATGTGTTTCCCGATTCAAGCATCTCTAGCCAAAATCGATACAGCCTCGATTGTTTTCGGGGTTGGCGGGGGGAGGGGGTTGTAGGGGTTCAAAAAGTGGGTGAGATGTGACGTTGCCAAATCACACTGGTCCCAACTTAAAATAGATATCTTCGCTGAGAATTACGAGACAAGCATTGGCACTTGAGAGTATTTCGTGACTTTTGTTGTCTGTACCTGACGCGTCCAAAGTTTTGGCGGGAAATGAAACGGCGGTAATGGTATTAGAATGTATGTGGATTTAGAAGACGGTAAGTGTGTGTGAGGGTCTTGGCGATGATTTAATAGTGATGATGACAATTGTTAAGGAAAATCATAGATATATATATATATATATATATATATATATATATATAACGTAATATGTGGGTGTGCGCTTTCGAGGGGTTCCTTTTTGGCACGGTTCGGTTTAAAGATGTTTTTATGAATAAATAATGGCGTCTTTTGTTAGTGGTGAAAAGAAGAAAGTAATTTACAATCGGACACGGCGTTTGTTGGTCTATTTGCTGGTATTGTTAAGTTGAATAAAGGTTGAGCGTCTGTTTGGTCGTTTTGGCGTCTTGCAGGGATGTTTTTGTCGAGTACTTAAAAACTTTTGCGAAAGCTATTCTTTCTTGTTTATTTCCCTATGATGATTTCAAGTCAAACCTATTCCTAATACAGTTGATGTTCATTAATAGCGAGTTTGATTTGCATAGAAGGTCGCATTAAAATCAATAAGTGTTCGATTTTCATTGAAAGTTCCATAAAAAAAAATCATCATGAGTTCAATTTCCTTTGAAAGTTCTACAGAAACAATTAATGGTTCAATTTGTTTTGAAACTTCCTGTAGTGAACGCATCGAAGACGAACCGGCGTCATGTGAGCCGTTTTCCAAGGAAGAAGGGAAACGTATAAAAGCCAGCCAGAAAAAAGAATATAAGAAATGCTTACCTGAGTAAACAACGTTCCACATGTTGGCCTGTACAAAAGAAAAATGACACGCATGGCCTGTGTAAAATCTCGTTATCAGCGTGAGTCTCGAAGGATATGTAAATTCTGAACGAGATTCGCGTTGCGCTATGCAAATTAGGTTCTATACAACGGGTAACTTGATTGCTGCCGGGGAGTTTGTCTCCGAGTCGTTAAGTTGCATGGAGGACAAGATCCTGAGACGTGCGACTGATGGATTGAATTTTATCCACCACATAAAATTCTGTTACACTTCCACAAAAATTACTATGGCTCTGATTTACTATGATAGTTATAAAGGTAACTATAGCTATAAAGGTAATTTACATTAACCAGAAAAAAAGGCTGAGACACAAGCGTCTATCTTTTTAAATTTGGATTTTTTAATGTAACTATAACAACAAAAACATTTCGATTTCATTTTTGCCTTGAAAAAGTCGGAAGACGAAACGCGTCGGCATAATGTAAGATTTTTTTCCAATTGTCATTTGATACCAATCTGTCTTGTCCACAGAATTCATCTGGGAATTTAACTATTTGATAGTTATATAAAAATCGTTAAGAGACTGACTTGCATTGGCAGTTCCATAAAAATCCTCAAGCGTTCGATTTGCTTTAGAAGTTTCATAAAAGCCATGAGTTCGATTTGCATTGGAACTTGCATAAAAAATAATTTAGAATTTAATATCTATTGAAAATTGAATAAAAATCATGAAGGCTTTGATTTAGATTTCAAGATCCATAACAGCATCAGGAGTTTGATTCGTTTTGAAAGGCTCATAAAAAATCATTAATGTTTACATTTGCTTTGAAAGTTCAAAAAAAAAAAAATCTTAATAGTCCGATTTCTATTGAAATTTCTAAAAATCGATTTTTATTAAGCGTTTTATGACAATCATTAAAATTACATTTGCATTGAAAGATCTATAATAAAAATCATTATGTTTTCCATTTTCTTTGAACGACTCTTGAAAAATAATTAATAATTCAATTTGCATTGAGCCATCAATAAATAAATTAATTAATGGTCCGATTTGAATTGAAAGATTCATAATAATAATTTAGAGTTCGACTTGCATTGAAATTTCGGTTTTTATTGAAATTTATTCCTGTTTAATGTGTCTACTTGCATTGGAAGTTCTATAAGTGGTGGATTGTTTTGGTTTTACGGCTCATCAACCTTTTGTGTGTCAGCAGCGAGACTTTATTCCTATATAAAAAAATGTGCTATATTCTTTCAGGGATGTTAGCGATCATGGCCCGTTTTTTTTCAGTAAGGTTTACGCTGTACAAGGCCCGAGGTTCAATTGAGGTAGAAGGATACGCCAAAGAGGAGTTTATATGGATAGGAGGGGATGATTTGGTTTGGTTTATTTTTTTTTACAGTATATCAAGCTCAATGGGTTATTTAATGCCGACAAATTTTTTTATTGCTGGTAATATTTTGTTTTGTCAAAAATCTGTTTCTGGTAATATTTTTCCTTCAAAATTGTATTGCTGGTAATAATTTTTTTCAAATAAAAACAAAAAAAAGTTGCTGGTAATAGTTAACTAGCTGGGACCCTAACAGGTGCTACCACTCCGGGCCAGAGTGGACCTTGGAACAATAGCAATTAAAAGGTGGATCCATGCTCCTCAAAACCTCCTGATCAGAGGCCTTGCTGTTGGACGTAGTTTATCGTCTTACCCAGGACGCGGATGTAGTTTATCGTTTTACCCAGGACGCGGATGTAGTTTATCGTTTTACCCAGGACGGGGACAAGAGGAGAAGATAATTGTTAACTCAAGATTTGTAGTAATTGGGGGAAAATCAGGGAAGTGCTTTGCGGGAAGAAGCTGTTTTGACGGGAACTTACTTCTCGCCGATGAAATACGGGGGAATGTCAATGGATAGCCAGGTCCTAACTGCGAAGGTTAGATCTGGTGGAACCAAGGAATGTAATCCGTCCGAGCACTTTCGATCTAAGCTCAATTTGTCTCTGCGGTAGTCTTTAATGTATTTATTGAACTTTGTTAAACTGGTTACTATTTGCTTTCGTCTACATTTCCTGCATTAAACAATTAACTAAAAAAAAGTGTAAATTACCCTCTCGAATAGTTTGTAACACATTATTTATCATGTCTCAGTTGCATCTCAGTTTTGGGGCAGAGTGTGCTCAAGGGCGGCTCCGTCAAAGGACAGAGTCGCAACTGAGGAAAATGATACTGAGAGGTGCCATGCCATAGGGAACAGCTTTCCGACGCTACGCCCTCTCATTGCACTAGAGGGAGGGTGGGATCGGTGCTCGCAGCGAGGTCAGCGCAAAAGATGGTTGCGGTGGCTGCGGGTAGATTTTGTTTCTAGCACCGGGGGTACGCGATGGAGCTCCGCACATTAAACCGACCTTGTCTCACAACCTGATCTCGTGGTGGTGGTGGTGGTGGTGGTCGAGTGGTGGGGGTTTGAGTAAATACAAATTACTCTCTCGAGTAGTTTTTAACACATTATTTATCATCTCTCAGTTGCATCTCTGTTTTTGGGCAGAGTGTGCTCAGAGGCGGCTCCGTCAAAGGACAGAGTCGCAACTGAGGAAAATTCTACTGAGAGGTGCCCAGCCCTAGGGAACAGCTTTCCGAGGCTGCGCCATCTCATTGCACCACATGGAGGGATCGGTGCTCACATCGAGGCCAGCGCAAAAGACGGTTGCGGGTATTTTTTGTTTTTACCATCGGGTGTACGCGCTGGGGCTCCCCACATTAAACCAACCTTGTCTCACAACCTGACCTCGTTGGGGCGTTTGAGTAAATAAAAATTACTCTCTCGAGTAGTTTTTAACACATTATTTTGTCATCTCTCAGTTGCGTCTCTGTCTTTGGCAACTGAGGAAAATTATACTGAGAGGTGCCCAGCCCTGGACATGGGAACAGCAGCAACACGAGCTCTCTGATTGCACCAGGGAGAGGGAACGCTGTTCGCACTGAGGCCAGCGCAACAGACAGTTGCGGGGGCTGCTGGCAATTTTTGTTTCTAGCCCGGGTGTACGCGCTCGGGCTTCCCGCATTAAACTGACCTTGTGTCACAATTTTTCTTTTTTGAAAAATCGTACCGAAAAAATTCGATATTCATCCATCTAACATCCGATCAATAAGGAGATATAAAATTGACCAAGGTCTATGGAGTTCTATACTACGTGCCTACTCATGGTGTAACAAGCTCAGAACTGGAGGCCTATTTTGAAATGTTTGAATTTCAGAAATTTTTGGAGAAATGGTAAAAGTTAAACAACATTCTTAATAAAGTGTGTTTTTTTTTAATTTTTGTAGTACAACATATTACATTTGTTTTTGTTTTATATTTTTAATGTTAAGCGAAGCTAAAATGCTACTATGAAGATTTGATATTTAGCTGTTAATGTCCCTTCGACAGAGAAACATGAACTTGAATAACGTTGAAAATATATAAGATATTGTCACTCCCCAATACACACTCAGCTACCTAATGAGACGAGATTCTCGAACGCGGGTGTAACAAGGGGAGATAATTTGAGGTTTCGCAGTTGTCGTCGACTTTGTTGTTGTGAATATGTAAAAACGCCGAAAGAAAATATGGCTCTTTATAATTATTCATCAATTTTTAACTGGCTTTTATTTGAATTCATTTCACATATGAATGACCCGATGTTTTCAGCTTGTAAGACAAGGTCGCAATTGCTAGGCATGGAAAGTTTGCCCGGAAACAAGAAAGAATATTTCTGATGAAGATACAGGAGGGACCGCTGTAAAATCGTGATCCGGAGGAAGAATTAAAGAACGAAAGAAATAACAAAGGAAACAACAGTTAACGATACGAAGAGGGAGAAAAAGAAAACATAATATATTGAACGAGAGTGGGGAGAAGAAAGGACAACAGCAAAATTAGGAAGGAAAGAAAACCATAAAAAGAGAGAGAAAAAAAGGTTAAATAACATTATAAGGGTGGATAAAGAAATAGATGAAAGATGAAAGAAAGGCAATGGGATAATAATAACAATAACAAGAGATAACAATAAATGAGTATGGAAAGAAAAAAAGAAAGAAGGAAAGTAAGAAAGAGTCGATGACTGAATGAATCAAGAAGTCAAGAAAGAAAGGAATTAAGATAGGAACGAAAAAAGAGAGAGTAATTAGGACGAGAAAGAAGAAAGGGAGACAGGAATAGAAAAATCTAGAAAAAAGCTATTAGAATAGGAGTATGAAAACGAGACAACAAAGGAATGGAAAAAGGAAAGAAAGAAAGAAAGAAAGAAAGAAAGAAAGAAAGAAGAGTGGTTGAAAGAATTAATAAAGAAGGCAAGACACAAAGGAATTGAGAGAGGAAAAGAAAAAAGGACAACAAATTAATTAGGATGGGAAGTGGAAAAAGAAAGAAAGAAAGTAAGAAAGAGTCGATGAATGAATAAATAAAGAAGTCAAGGAAAGAGGCAACAGAGCAATTAAGATGAGAAAGAAAGAAGGAAGGAAGGAAAGAAAGAGGAAGGAAGAAATAGAAAAATCTAGAAATAAGCTATTGGAATAGGAGTGAGAAAAGGAGACAGCAAACGAATAAAGAAAGAAAGAAAGAAAGAAAGAAAGAAAGAAAGAAGAGTGGGTGAATGAATTAATAAAGTAGGCAAGACACAAATGAAGTGAGATAGGAAGAGAAAAAAGGACAATAAATTAATTAGGATGGGAAGTAGAAAAAGAAAGAAAGAAAGAAGGAAAAAGAGAAGAAAGAAAGAGCAGAGAAAGAAAGAAAGACAACTGAGCAATTAGGATGGGAAATGAGAAAGAAAGAAAGAAAGAAAGAAAGGATGAATGAATAAATAAATAAGACAAGAAAGAAAGTAATTGCGATAGGAAATGAGAAAAAAGAGACAATAAATGAATAAAAATGTAAGACGAGAAAAAAGGTAAGAAAAAAATCAAGAATTATAAAAGGAAAGGAAAGAATTGAGACTTGAATGTTAGAAACTGAAGAGAAAGAAAGGGAAAAGAAAACTATTTAAAAAACGAATGACGAATGAAATGCGATAATTAGAATCAAAGCACGAATAGATTCAGTGAAAAAGAGAAAGTCAAACAAATTATTTAAATGATAAAGAATAAAGAACGAAAGAAAAAAGTAGAAAGGGAGAAAGAAAGTAATAATGAAGCAGAGAACATAAACACAGGAGAAAAAAAAAGAAAACATGAAAAAATATGAAAGAAAGAAAGAAAAAAAGACGTGTAAGAAATTCCATTATGCCTATATTTTTGTTTTCTATTAGAAGAAAGAATGAAAAAAGAAAAATTGATGGAAGTGGCAACAAGAAGGAATCTAATGGCCAAAAAATTCATAAAAGGTAAAAAAATGAAGAAAGTGAAAAAGTTAAGCGAAAAATAAATAAATAAATAAAAACAAGCATATAAATAAATAAGAGAAAATAAATAAAATAAAAAAACGAGAAAAGATAAAAACTTCTAAAAATAAGAGACAAAATAAGCAAAGAAAATGTAAAAGAGAAAAAAAAAACGAACAATTCAAAAATTAAGAGAAGGAATAAATAAATAAAATTAAGAAAATAAGAGCAAGATATAGAAAGAATTTAAAAAACTTAAAATATAACTAATATAAATATATATATATATGTATAAATAATGTACAAAATTGCATAATTAGGAGAGAAAATGAAGCGATTTAAAATTTTAAGAAAAATACAGATTAATAAATTAACAGAAAAATAATTGAAGAAAAATTATAAAAATATATGTAAAATAAAAGATTAAATTTAAAAATATCAAGAGAGACATTAAATAATGAAAAAAGACAAAACAAAAAAGTAAAAAATAAAGTAAAATTATAAAAAAAAAACAAACAAACTCAATGAGATAAAAATAATAATTAAGAAGCATAAATAAAATGCTTCGTTCAGATTTTTCGATCTCCAAAGATGACACCTTTACGAAATCAAAGTGAATTTCTTTTAATTTTTATATCTACCCACACGGGCAAGTGTGGAAATTAGAAACGCTGACAATGAATTAGTTGCATCGAAACGGCATAAAAAAAAGACTTCCAAAATCATTCTTTTTAAATGCATCCATTTCTCCCTGAAATTCACTTTTCAGCGCCATTTGTTCGTGATTCAAGTTTCCAATTTCCCGTTGCATCAATAAACCGTCTAATAAATAGTGTTCGCTTCTTTTTGACTTGATTGTTTTTTGTTTTTTTTTTTGTTTCTCTCCAGAATTCCCCTTTTCTTGGAAGTTTGTTACAGTATCTTCGCCATTACCTATTTTTTATTTGCTTTGTTGCCTTCAGAATTTTGTAAAGTTTTTCGTTCATTTGTTCGTAAAATAAATTGAATAAATGCGATATGATCGAATGGGATGAATAAGGCAAATCTATCTATCTATCTATCTATCTATCTATCTGAGGTAGTTAATATTTTATCTATCTATCTATCTATCTATCTATCTATCTATCTATCTATCTATCTATCTATCTGTTCACACGTCCATTTTCGTATATATATTTCTTCGGCTATTTATCTATCTATCTATCTATCTATCTATCTATCTATCTATCTATCTATCTGAGGTAGTTAATATTTTTATCTATCTATCTATCTATCTATCTATCTATCTATCTATCTATCTATCTATCTATCTGTTCACACGTCCATGTTCGTATATATATTTCTTCGGCTGTCTATCTATCTGAGGTAGTTAATATTTTTATCTATCTATCTATCTATCTATCTATCTATCTATCTATCTATCTATCATCACTGTTTACGCATCTATTTTCGTATATATATTTCTTCGGCTATCTGTCTATCTATCTATCTGAGGTAGTTAATATTTTTATCTATCTATCTATCTATCTATCTATCTATCTATCTATCTATCTATCTATCTATTTGAAGTAGTTAATATTTTTATCTATCTATCTATCTAGCTATCTATCTATCTATCTATCACTGTTTACGCATCTATGTTCGTATATATATTTCTTCGGCTATATGTCTATCTGTCTATCTATCTGAGGTAGTTAATATTTTTATCTATCTATCTATCTATCTATCTATCTATCTATCTATCTATGTTCACAGATCTATCAATGTTCTTATATATATTTCTTCGTATGTCTGTCTGTCTATGTTCGTATCTATCTATCTATCTATCTATCTATCTATCTATCTATCTATCTATCTATCTATCTATCTATCTACACATTGGCTGGGGGGAAACAAATACTCTTACACATGCAAATGTTTAATTTATTTCATTCCCAACTAATGATTAAACATAATTTTCATATAATTAACTGTACACAGATGTATAATGACTAAATATGTATATACAACGGAACAAAAAAAACTTGATTTAACATAAATAAATCTCATTTATATATTTTAATGTGTGAAAAAATTATTCGTACAATGCAAAAAAGAATACATAATCTTCATTTAATACTTTGTAGAATAGCCATTATTCACTTCTACAGCAACCAACCTCTTGTAATTCTCAATTAAAGTTTTGCAAATTTTAGCTGGTATTTTGTTCCATTCTTCTTCGCATATGATCTTCAGATCCAGAATATCTGTTGGAGCTTTCGATTGGATTTAAATTTTCAAATAACGCTACGGATTCTCGACTGAGTTTAAATCTGGGGACTGACTTGGCCAATTCAACATATTTACATTATTTTCAGCAAGCTATTTCTTCGTAGATTTGGCAGTGTGCTTAGGATCATTATGTTGTTGAACGATCCAATCAGGAGGAAGTTCAAGATTTTCAACCAAAATTATTAAATTTGCTTCCAAAATATTTTGATATGCTGCAGTATTTATTCTACCATCTATTACTGATATGTTGCCAATACCTTTTACAGAAAAAGATCCCCAAACCCTGATGCTGCCAGCTCCCAATTTCACTGTTAGAAATCTGTTCTTTTGTTTGAAGGCATCGCCATCTTTTCTGCAGACATGATTTTTAGAATTACATCTAAAAAACTCATTTGGTTTCGTCTGTCCATAATACTCTTTCTGAATACGATTTGTCTTTTTACTTATATTCATGAACGAATTTCAACCTGGTGTCTCTGTGTCTTTTCAATAGCAGTGGATTTTTCCGAGGGGAGCATAACTTTAGATTGTTCCTATGAATTTCATTGCTTATTGTCTGTTTACTGACACAGATTGCTGATGAAAGCAAATCATCTTGCAAGTCTTAACTAGTAACCATTGAATTTTGTTTATTTTGATGCATTAATTTCCTCAAAGATCTTGAAGAAATCTTCCGCTGAGCACCTGTTCTTTGGTTTTCAACAGTTTTGAGTTTTTTATGCCCCGCAAGGAATGAACAAATGGTAGTAAATAGAATATTCAGGCTGTCTATGATTTTCCAGTAACTTTTACCTTCTTCCAGAGTTTAACAATCAGTTCTTTTTGCAAATTTGTCAATTCTTTACCACTAGCCATGTAGAAACACAAATATCAATTATAGAATGTAATTGATACAGTTTGTATTTTCTAGGCTAAAATAACTAATGATATCATTATTGGAACATTCTAGAATATTCCACTTAAATAATCTAGAGTATTAAAGCAATTTAAAAGTTTTAAAATCTGAAATTTTCATTGTACGAATAATTTTTCACCCATTAAAATGTATAAATGGGATTTATTTCTATTAAATCAATTTTTTCTGTTTTCTATGCATATTTAGTTATTATGCATCTGTGTACAGTTAATTCTGTGAAAAGTATGATTATTCATTAGTTGGAAACAATAAATTAACAATTTGTACGTGTACCAATACTTGTTCCCCCCACTGTATATCTATTACTCTGTTCACACATCTATCTATCTATCTATCTATCTATCTATCTATCTATCTATCTGTTCACACATCTATGTTCGTATATATATTTCTTCGACTATCTCTCTATCTATCTATCTATCTGTTCATAGATCTATGTTCGTATATATATTTCTTCGTGTGTCTGTCTGTCTATGTTCGTATCTATCTATCTATCTATCTATCTATCTATCTATCTATCTATCTATCTATCTATGTTCGTATATATTTTTCTAATGTCTATCTATCTATCTATCTATCTATCTATCTATCTATCTATCTATCTGTTCACACATCTATGTTCGTATATATATTTCTTCGGCTATCTATCTATCTATCTATCTATCTATCTATCTATCTCACTGTTCACACATCTATATTCGTATGTATATATTTCTTCATCTATCTATCTATCTATCTGTTCATATATCTATCTATGTTTGTATATATATTTCTATATATCTATTTCTATCTATCTATCTATCGATCTATCTATCTATCTATCAATCTATCTATCTATCTATCTGTTCATAGATCTATGTTCGTATATATATTTCTTCGTATGTCTGTCTATGTTCGTATCTATCTATCTATCTATCTATCTATCTATCTATGTTCGTATATATTTTTCTTCTATCTATCTATCTATCTATCTATCTATCTATCTATCTATCTGTTCACACATCTATGTTCGTATATATATTTTTTCGACTATCTATCTATCTATCTGTTCACAGATCTATCTATGTTCGTATATATATTTCTTCGTATGTCTGTCTGTCTATGTTCGTATCTATCTATGTTCGTATATATTTTTTTATGTTTATCTGTCTGTCTGCCTATCTATCTATCTATCTATCTATCTATCTATCTATTCACACATCTATGTTCGTATATATATTTCTTCGGCTATCTATCTATCTATCCATCTCACTGTTCACACATCTATATTCGTATGTATATATTTCTTCATCTATCTATCTATCTATCTATCTATTTTGTTCTGTTTTGAATATGTCTTATTATATGACCACGTGCAGCTATCCTCGTTTAATTTATACCTCCTTTTTAAATGATCTCCTTCCCTATTTATTTCCCGCTCGATCCTTCTTTCTTTCTTTCAAATGAAATCTGCAGCCTCAAATCTGTTTCCAATGGATTTATTAAAAGAAATCCTTGCTTCATGGCGCTCAAGCCAAGAAAACTGTTTACGGTTTCACACTTGATGAGTTGCAGAAAATATTTCTTCGCCGTCTTTCTTTAAACACATTCTTCACGTTTATCGCGCGATTGGAAGCCGTGAGATTTCTTTTAATTAAAAATCATATTTCTCTTTTATTTTCGTAATAAAATATGAAGGAAAAAAGTGGCGAAATCCAACTCAACAATCAGAACTAATTGGAATTATTAAAAGAACGGAAGCAGACCATTTGAATGGCAAGTGTATTTCGAATAGTGAACCGTCGGCTGAATGTAGGTGACGTAAAAAATATTAATTAAAAAAAAAAAAAAACGTAACCAACCCGGCCAAAGAAACAGTTAATTAACCCTAATGATGTCACGTTTATAGATAAACCTTTGCCATTAGATTGACTAACCATCGAGCGGCTGAACTAAGTAAATCTTAATTCGTTAAAGATCAAATATATGTAGGGTGCGATGAATAAATTGTCATCTAAATTAAGCAAAAATGAAAACACTGACATCTCATTTTAACAGATATATTTACTAAAAATACACATAAATATCTTAAAGAAGTAAAGAGTAAATTTGTTCAATAAAATCCCCATTAGATTCAACCACGGCCTCCAGACGACTTCGGAATCACCTGCAACTCTTACAGACGGACTCGTTGTTTCAGTTGGTGAATGCTGCCATAATCCTTGCCTTCAGATTATCTTTGATATTACAAGGAGTTTTGTTGGTCTTTCGCTCTACTGCGCCCCACACATAATAATCAAGGGGGTTGCAGTTTGGGAATTTAAGTGTAAGAATTGATGTGGTAGAAGAAATTGTTTGACAGCCATGACTGGGTATTTCTACTTGTGTGGCATGGTGCAGAGTCCTGTTGCTATACATAGTTTCTTAGTTTTGTCAACGATACCAAATTTACTACTGAGCCAGAAGGAAATAGTAGTAAATGGTCTGTTTATAATAAACAGTATTAACAACATTTACCTCCCTGAATGTCCGAGAAATCGCAAGGAAAATATCTGTGCTCCGACTGGTATCGAACCTGCGTCCTACACGGAACCGTCATATAGCTTGACGTGCTATACCATTTAGCTACAGAGAAAGCGTCTGGCTAGTAAGATTAAATTACTGTTTTTAAACTACAAACTTCCTATTATTTCTCTCGAATGCCCATATCTGATCGAAGCGCATCTTAATGTAAACGAATGACATAATATATTATGAAATGGACAAAGTCTGAAAATTATTTTAATTTTTACGCAATTTTTTATAGATACAAATATTTAAGTAAATGCTATGTTTATAATAAAGAGTATTGCTATGTATTTAGAAATTCTTAAAAATACAAAGGAGAATCAGCAGTGTTATTGGTCCTGATCTGGCATCTCGGCTTCAGTCACTTTCCCACCTCCGTGACATAATTTTATGTGACTTTTCTATAAATCTTTTTTTATGGTAATTGTTCTGATGAGATTTCCTCTTTGGTACGCAGGCTTTATGAATTTAAGCGCAGTACTAGATGGGCAGCATGGTCTCATCGTTTTACAGTTGAAATAGCGAGATATAACCGTAAATTCTATTCCCTCTCCCCCCCCCATGGATTGAAACGTCCGTTTGTCCATTTAGTGGTAAGGTGAGTTTTTTTTTTAAAATGGTGTTCCTTTTGTACAAGCCCCAAGAGCTACTCGAGGTAGAAGCTTACAGAATAAGGAGCATAGTTTACGTAAGAAAGATAACGATTAACTCTAGATTTGATAAGCGCAAGAGAAGCAACCTCTTGGGAGTTGGTTCTAAAGAGGAGCGGTTCTTAAGAAGAAAATTCTCAAGTGGAATTTACATCCCCCCAATGGAATAGGAAAGGAATGAGGATGGTCCCCTACAATATGCATAACATGGTGGGTCTTAGCCCTGAAGGTTAGAAGCATTGTTTCACCCAGGACGCCCTATTTGGGGGTACGAGGTGCAGTAGGAACATTCTGAAGCCCCAGCTGGCAGGGGGAGATTGGTTTGGTATTTTTAGGCTGATCAACTTTTTGCAGGTTATTTAAAGCTAGAAAAGATGTATCAGCAAATCATTATTATTTTCGAAAAACTCTTAGAATCTAAATAGGTTACTAGTATTTAACCCATATGTAGGGGGAGATGACTCGGATTCATATATTTCTCATGGGTATTTGCTCGTAAGTGAATATAACAAACCCAACTGGAATTGGAAAGTGTGTGACCAATTATTACTGGGTAATAAAAGAAAGGAAGTTATGTAGAACCGTTATTAATCATATCTTGAACGCAGTTGATATATCGAGAAAAGTAAAGAGACATCTTATATTTTTGATTGATTTGTTTTTACGGCTTATCAGCCTTTTGCCGGTTATTTAAAGCAGAATATTTTTTGTGATAATAATGATTTACTGATACAAAGTCAACTATTTAACCCATAGCTGCAGACGGAGATGATGTGGATTCATATATTTTCCAAGAATATTTGCGCGAAAGTGAATATAAAAACCTGACAAGAATTGGAAACACTTGGTGTTATCAAGCGTTCAGTCCTCTAGATACTGAGCAGGACCGTCGTTGCTTGAATCGTACGAGATATCCGTAAGACAAGAGCTTTTCTTTTGGTAAGTAGTATATGTCTACATACGTAGATTTTTGTACTTAGCTCGATCTGATACAGGGTCATATTTCTCAGCATGTTTATGGCGTAAAAACCTGCCATTAAATATATCTCAGATCATTGCATCAATGAAACGAGTTAATTGCTCAATGAAAACGTGCGAAGTAACTGTTTTTTTTTCCTTCCCACGTTCCTGTGTATTGCTATTGAGTTCGACAAATAAAATTGGTGGATTCGGGTTGGATTGAGATACTGAAGGAAGTTCGGGCGCCAAAAATCCCCCTAAAAACAATTTTCTCAGTTTGAAATACTCGTTATGAATCCACACTTTTATTCCAGTTGATTATCTTGTCCAGAAAGGGTCACTTTCTCTGCTCATCGTGGAGAGAACGACAACGCAAGTTAATATCCGGTCAGGTACCCTTCATGATGCTTATTTTCTGCTCCTTATTAAGGGTCGGGAACGACATGCTAATATTGATATTGACTAATATTGAAGGAAATTTGTGTACCAGTTGAAAGGCTATATCTTTCTCGTTTATATATGAGCCAAACACTTCCTGCGCTCTGACCTCTTGCCACTGACCGCAATTCTGAGCTTGTCACAAGCATGCTACAATAGTTGACATAAAAATGGAATCGGCAAGGGGAATTCGTGTTCCGGATGAGAAGCTTTCTATATCACACTAATGCATGAACCCAATTCTCCCTGCGCTCTGACCTTTTGCCACTGACTTCAATTCAGATCTTGTCGCAGTTATGTCACACACAGGCTGAGACAAAATGGAATTTGTGGAAAGAGAATTCGTGTTCCGAGTGAGAAGTTTTTTATTTCGGGCTAATGCATGAACCCAATTCTCCCTGCGCTCTCACCACTTGCCACTGACTTCAATTCTTTAGATCTTGTCGCAGGTATGTCACGCAGGCTGAGACAAAATGGAATCTGTGAAAGGGAATTCGTGTTCCGAATGAGAAGTTTTCTATTTCGCGCATGAACCCGATTCTCCCTGCGCACTTACTTCTTGCCACAGACTTCAACTCTGATCTTGTCGCAGGTTTTCATTCACACAAGCCCCGTCTGGTAGTTGGCTCGCTGCCTTCCCTTATCTCTCTTGCCTGATATATGCCCTGTCGGTGTGGAATAATCCACGTTACCTTTTCACCCCTTTGCAGAACAATCCATTCTTACACCCACACACCTGTTATCCATTCAAAACACTAGTTCTGACAAACTCAATTTCTCATTGGCTAACAGCCTAAAAAAACTAAGTATGCACATGAAAAATGCCTTTGGCGCTCAAATGTGTTTGAGCTTATTTTTCCATTCCAAAACCTATAAAAGAAAGAAATTCGAACCAACTTACTAGTCAGAATTCCACACTCAGAGAGATGCCAACCAATTCCACGCCAGTTTAAACTTTGACTTTCCCGCGCGAATTAACCTCTGACTCAACATAATTTTGGCATACTCATTCTCTTTTAAACACACTTCTCAAAAAATCATTTACTTTACTTGAAGAAAGTAAAATATATATTCACTACATATTAGTAACAGTAACAAACAAAACTTTTAACAATTAACTGTTCAAAGTACGCAACTTCGTACAACTTAAGTATATTTTACATAACACTCGTATACACACACTAACATTTGAACTGTAAAATCGAACACTTTTGTACGTTGAACAGCAAACTGTTTAATTCTTACAACAAATCATCAAAACACTGATTTAAGCATTCTAACATACTCAACAACAAACTACATGTCTTATTACATCAACATACAACAAATCACCAATTCATAACTCATTTGTATATATTTAAATTGTATATAAATTACTGTATTGTTGTGTATTTTACTTGTCTTTGTTTTTAACTCTGCTTTGCATGATCTGTTCTAAATATTCGTTTATTATTTGTTGTGGATGAATGTTAACGAACACGCCACCTAAAAATTCTTTCTGATTTAACCAAATACATTCACTAATCCCCAACATGGGTATTAAATTTTCCTAGCCATATTTCCTCTTCATGCGTCCAAGAAATTTCAGCTTCCTCTTTGTGATTATAAATAAAAGTGTTCATTTTGTTATCGTTTTCTTTAATATTTCCCCCTTGCTTAGTCGCGCTGTTCATAGCATTCTCAGTATCCTTCTGTTGAATCACATTTTTGTTGCTTCCACTTTGTGAGGAGATTG